CCACATGGTGGCTCTCAACCACCTATAAAGAGATCTGATGCCCTCTTCTAGCCTTCAGGCAAAATATGCAGGCAGAATACTGTATACATAATAAATAAATAAATCTTAAAAAAAAAGAAACCACCTAAATGGGAAAGACCATGTTCAAACTCCTCTTACAGCTTCACTGACCAATCAGAAACACTGGAAACATCTCAAGAAACACCTGCATCCTCTCCTCAGAAAGCATGCATGAGGGAGATCATGCAGTAATGCAGGAGATGTTTACAATTTAGCATGCAAGAAAAATCAAGACATGATGGCACTTGCGCTAGTATTACTGTATCTAAAAAAGGATGCCAAGGGCTGAAGGAAACAGGAAAAAGTGACAACAGCTGGCAGGAATTGTCTGGACAGTAAGATTGCACTTATTCCTTATGCAACATCCTTTTCCCAATTATTTACATCTCAGGAGAAAGGGGGAAGGATTAAGGTTGCTATGAAACATTAGCCAAATACACATAACACTCAATGCCCTAATCTTAGGGCAGCTTTTAAGTGAAAATCCAAGTTAATTAAAGCCCTTAAAGTGACATGAACTCTCGTAGAGTGGACACTGTGAAAGATGTCAACCGGAATCTCTTTTGATGTTTCACTTTATTAGAAAGTTGGGAAAGAAACATCTATTAAATGATACAAGGTGGTAGAGGTGTTGCTTCAGGGGAGTGACTCTAAGTGTGGGCCTTGTACGGCACATACCCTGGACACTGTTCTGGCCAAGTAGTACTGCCATGTAAGAAGCAGTCTAGTTCAAGAAAACCAGAAATCCAGACAGATTGTGAAATCGCCTCATTTTTAAGTGTGGCAATAAGAATTTTTTTTTTTTAAAGATCCTAAGGACAAACTAATATCTGTGGACTGGATATATCTATGGGTTGGCAAAAGAATACTCTATAAATGCTCCAGTCCAGGGGTATGTTGACCTTTGGAGTCAAATGGCCCTAAAGAAGATTACATCTAAGGATGCAGGATGAGGAGGCTGAGAGAAATCCTGACCAATTTTAGCGCTGCCTGGGAAGATAACTAAATGTTTATAACATAACTGAGCTTCCCTCAGTCCCATCAGCTTGCTTTTGACTCATCTGTAAATGGTCAGTGAGGCTCTGTGGAAAAGTAGTCCTTACACAGGAGAATGATCAACCCTGCTTTCTCTTTCCTCCAGCTAGCAGCTCAAACACAGCGTACATACACATCACCAGTTAAAGGAAGCTACCAGGAACTGCCTCCGGCTTGTTTTAGAAGTGGAAACTCCTGTGACTACACAGCTGGGTATGGCTCTCACCGTGGTCACTGGTGTGGAACGTCAAAGACACCAGTCCTGTCCACTGCCTACCTCACTGCCCTACTGTGGTTTTGGAAGAACTAACAAGCCTAAGTCAGAGCCTCTAAAAAACCCCATGTCGCCCATGCTGCCCCTGCGCCGATTCAAAAGCCCTTTCTACTACAATTTCCCCACCCCACTGTGCAGAAACAGCTGTTACCTGGCCACAAAACTGGCAGTCTTGTCAACGATATTCCTGACCTCCGGAGGAGGGTAAATAATCCCTACCACTGGCTTGGAAGGTGTGGATTCCTCCTTTGACGATGCTTCTTCTTCAACTGGCTGTGAAAACAGAAAAAGGAAGATCTTCAAGCTCTGGGTTTGGGTTAGGCTATCATAAACCAGCTCCCAGCATTTCTCCATGATACAGGTGACAACAATCTTTGTCCTGCAGGCTCCTTATGTGTACTTATGCGGCCGTTCCTAAGAACCAGGGAAAAGAATGGCTTCCTTGGCTCTCCTTTAGACAGACAGACTGGTGGGATCAGATACACTTCTTTTTGTTTGTTTTTTTGCTGAAGAGTTAGGGCTCAAACTCAGCCTTACACATGCAAAACAAGGCACTAAACTATATCCCTAGCCTCCAAATCTGCACTTTTTACCCAATGTCCATGTGATTCAGACTCAGGGATGTTAACCACAATCTAAGAAACCAAATTTCAGAATCCAAATGGCCATGTCTTTAGCCTTAAACCTAGTATTGTGTCTTGTATAGGATACTTAGTGGCTGCCTGCCAGAAAGTAGCTCAGTGGTTTAATGTGTTTACCCTGCATGAGGTCTTAGGTTCTATACTCAACACAAATAGAAATAAAGGCAGAGGAAAGAAAAGAAGAAAAAAGGCTGGCTGAGAGTTCATTCTGTCTTGACTGTCCATTTTTCCATACATCCATTCCATCAACCTAGCCACTGTTAAAGGCATAAATGTTTGGGGAGCTTCAGTGGAATTTGACCCCAATGGTTCTTTAATGCTTTATCCAGCAGCTTCTTCCTCTCAGTTAAGGACTGGGCTCTCATCTTAGAAAAATAACTTCTCTCCACCTTCAGTTCCTTTGGGCTGCCGCCTTCTCTTATTCTCCCTCTGGCAGGTGAACATCCATCTCATCTCCTATTTGGTTCTCATTTACTTCAACTTTGTTTGTTTTGAGACAGGGTTTCTCTGGAAACCCGACTATCCTGGAACTCACTTTGTAGACCAGGCTGGCCTCAAACTCAGAGATCCTCCTGCCTCTGCTTCCGGAGTGCTCATTTAAAATATTCTTGGCTAAGTAAAAAATAAAAATAACTGCCTAAAGTCAACTACAGCTACAGGAGCCTCTGTGTCTTCTCCCATCTGTATTTTACCTCCTACTCTACCACTGGAAACCTCTGAACCAGCAGTTCTCAACCTGTGGGATTTGACTCCTTCAGGGTCCAACGACCCGTTCTTTCACAGGGGCCGCCTAAAACCATCATATCAGATGTTTATGATAAATAACAGTAGCAAAATTACAGTTATGAAGTAGCAATGAAAATGACTTTATGGTTTGGGGTCACAACGTGAAGACCTGTATTAAAGGTCACAGCATTAGGAAGGTCAGGAATCACTGCTCTAAACATGGTTTATAATTTCTTCTCAGTATTCAAACTGTCTTCAGCCAGACATTCTTGAAAACTATGTTCTACACTTCCTTTCCCTACTTTAGGCTGAAAAATCCTGCCTAAATCAATCTCCCAGGTAACTCTTGAATGGCACCAAGCTTTGGACCCAACAGACTCTAGGACACTTTCATCTCTAACCTATGATGGTTTTCCAGTCACATAAGCCAGAAATCCAGGCCTCCTCAGTCTCTAATAACGTTCACCAAACATAAAGTATATCCCGGGCACTTGAACTGTATTAACTCTTAGGATCCTGATGACAGCCTTGAGGAAGTGTTCTTATTCTCATATTACAGACAACAGGGGATAATAAATGTGTACCTGCCCCACAGACAGAACCAGGATTCCAGCACATCACTTAGGCTGGAGTGCCTGTGCCAAGAGTCATCTGTGACAAACACTTGCCCATCCCTCTTGTCCTAATCTAGACAGACACCCTCGGTGTCTTTTGAATACCTTAACTGTTTCTCTTCCTCCTCTTTACATCACTGTAATCCTAAGTTTTTGAAACACAAACGTCACTATCCAGCTTAAATATGTCTTCAAGGACATATTCAAATCCTAACTGCACCTCCTAACACCGTTATCCCAAATGTGCATTTGGGCCACACTTGCTCACGTACCTTTAACAAAAGAGGAACCGTGTGACTCCTACCTTGGTGGTTTTGTGACCATTATTTGGTATCACCTTGTCTGTTTTCCCTCAGTGTCAAGGAAAATACACAGGCACACAAACACACAAATGTTGGGAGAAGGGACATGGGCCTCATCTGTCATGTTTGGGATTGTATTCTGAACCAAAAGCAACAATAAGCATATATAGTATGTGCCTGACAAATGCACGCTGAATAATTTCCTTTCCCCCATCACGCTTCATGGCTATCCATTCTTAAAACAGCCACTCACCTCTCACTCCCGCGGACTTCTCCCACATTTATTTCCCCTCTACTCCTGCAAGCAATGCTGACTAAATTCATGGTTTGTTTGTATTCAACGTAACTGCAATTATTTTCCTGCATGCTTCCTCCTCAGCTGTTTGTGAGCTTTTGGGTCTCACCCTGTAGCCCAAGCTAACCTTCAATTCATGATCCTCCTGCCTCAAACTTACAAATGCTGGGATCACTGATGTTCGCCTTGTGCCCAGCCTTGAAAGCTTTTAAAGGTTGCCTGACACTTCATCATCTACACTGACACGGACAATACACATTGAGTATCTGTGCATGTCTATATTTTCACTAGTCTGTGCTCTCTCTTAAGGCAGGGACTACACCTCACCCATTCTGTAATAATGAAGACTGGCACCTTTTCTGGTTTCGGGAAAGCACCTCGTAGGTGTTTAAAAAAAAAAAAAAAACCAAAAACACGGGGCAGGCTAGGAAATTAGAGATTACTGGACAAAGGCTGAGCGACTGGGAGGCCCAACGGCGACGGTGAAGAGGCTGGCCGAATGCTTCTCACACTTGAACGAAACAAGAAGGTTTAGAGTGGAGGTTTCGGGATTCTAAAAAGACCCCAGGAGCGGCCGAGGCTACTAGTGCACGGGCCACTTTGAGAATCCCGGTTCTAGGGAGGGAGGGCGCTTTGGGGACCAGAAGGCAACGCAGCGCGCTGACTCCTGGGACTTGCAGTCCCTCCAAGCCCTGCCGGGCAGCCTGAGCTTCCAGCAGGAGTGCCGTAGCGCCGGCGCGGGAGGGGAGGGACGAGGCCTTCCCCAGGACTGCAGGCTGGGGAGCACGGGGCGCGGTACCTGTTTGGGCTCAGTGGCTACAGGCGGCGGCGGAGGCACCGCCTGCACGGGTCCGGCCGGCATGACTGCGACGCTCAGGGCTGCCAGTCCGCCTCAGGGCGACAACCGGTACGGCGGCAAGGTTAAGCTCCGCACACGAAGGCTACAACGCAATGGCAAGATGGCGGCGACCGAGAGAAAAGCCGCGGAAGACAGTGAACACACTTCCGGTCCCGCCCCCTGGCCACGGCGCACTTCCCACCCCGCCCCGAGGGCAGGGCGGCGCGCTATGCCGTTGCCATGGCAGCGGCCTGGGCGCGCCGCTAAGGGTTTCAAGGGATCCTAGGAGCCGCTGGCGCTCTGGGCGAAGTTTTGTGAGCCGGCCAGACACAGAGCTGAGGCTGCGACGCCGGAGACAGGTGAGCCGTTCTACATCATCCGCTGAACTCCCCTCGCGGCCCTGGCCGGTTTCTCGCTCCCTGCGACTGCACCTTCCAGGGCCCCCATTCCGGTCTTCCTTCCTGCTTGGCCTGTCATTTTGAAGAATTTTCCTCCCCTTAGACCTGTTGCGGTAGAGTCCCACTTAACTACGCCTTTAGCCCCTTTTTTTCTGTTCAGCACCACCTCTTCCGGACCCCGTCTTACAGTGCCCAAGCCCGCAATTCCCTAGGGTCTCTTCCCTCTGGCCTCTTTTGTAAGTTGCACCTTTAACTTCCATAGCCCCGCCCTCAAACCCGACCTCCTCCAATCATAGCTGTTCCCCAAACTCCCACCTGTGCGGCCCTGCAGACCACGCCTCTCCCGGAGACACGCCTCCAATCACCGGCCTTTCTCTCTTGAGATCCTTTAGGTCCCCATTCCCTCTCCTCTCCCAACTCCGGAATGCCGAAAGAGGGTTCTGAGCTCATCTTGACTCGCTTCACCTGTAAAATGGGACAGCAACAAAACTCCCAAGGTCCCTTTCCATCCACACTGTAGCTGGTTATTTCATTGTTATTCATGTAGAATAGGGACAGTTAGGATCAGTTGGACATTTATTTACTGCAAGCTAGATCCTGTGTCAAACACTACAGGTATTGCATCATTTGCTCCTTATAGCAAGCTATTTGCTGGTGAAGACCGTGAAATAAGAAGTCATACTCACGGCGGCGGGGGCGGGGGCGGGGGAGTTCCGTATGTGAGGGGGGGGGGAAGAATCCATAGTCTTTTTCCTCTACTAATCTGATGTTTATTACTGTGTCTTCACTGTGTCACTTTCATGTCCCAAGGGGTCCAGGCAATAGCTCACTCAGGTCAGAGATTGGCAATTGCCATTGTAGGTGCTTTTAGAGTTTCAAAAATACTTTCTCAGTGGTGACTGGACCTCAGTGGGCATACTGGCTGGGAAATAAGCATGTCTTAAACCATGGTGTCAGTTGTTTGAGAGAGGGAGGATTGAGTGTTGAAATGGAGAGGAAGGCTCCTGCCCTTCCTAATGACAATGTTGTTTCCCTTAGAGCCATCACCTGTGTGGTCTGCTTCAGGTTCACTCAAGACCTAGGAATTACAGAGACACTCCATGTTGTGTGCTCGTCCACTCCAAACACCACACTATGAATCTGCATGAGCTCCCTTTAAAAAAAAAAAAAAAAGATTTATTATGTATACAGTATTCTGCATACATAATATGCAGAATATGGCCAGAAGAGGGCACCAGATCTCATTACAGATGTTTGTGAGCCACCTTGTGGTTGCTGGGAATTGAACTCAGGACCTCTGGAAGGACAGCCAGTGCTCTTAACTGCTGAGCCATCTCTCTGTCCTCCCATGAGCTCTATTTTTAAAAGAATCAGTAGAAAGTAACTTTGGATATCCTGTGTGTATACATGTTTGTGGTGCTGACGATTGACCCAGGGCTTCATACATGTTAAGCAAGTGCCATACTACCAAGCTACAGTGTCTGCTTAACTTAGAGTATTCTTGGTGTTTTGACCCAGAATCTCATGGGAATTGGTATCCAAGATGGCCCTAGTAACAGATCCTTTTTTTTTTTTTTTTTTTTTTTTTGCCTGTGTGCTTTGCCTCCTGACCATGCTTCTCCCCAGATTGGGACTTCTTGCTTGCTTTATTTCCTTCGGGTCCTTCCCAGGAAAGAAAGCCAGGATGCTTCGTGTTGTTGTTTTCCTTCCTGTCTGCACTTCACTCCTTAGGGACATAAAATCTCTTGGGCTGCACTGTCTCACCAGAGGCAGTTGCCAAGTCAACACATAGGAGGCATGAGTCAAATGTATCTGTTTGTATGTGAGTATTATGGGCAGCACTCCTTGCAGGAAAACTCAGATACGGTTAGTGGTTCCTGAAGGATCTCTCCCCTTCCTCCCAAGTTTCACTTCATAGCCCAGGCTGGCCTTGAACTTGCATTCCTCCTGTCTTAGCCTCCTAAGTGCTAGGGTTACAGGCCTGTGTCACCATGCCCTGCCTCACTCTAGCAGGTAGTAGATGTTCAATCCCATTGTTGAACACATAGCATTCGACCCTCTATGCCTGTACTGCACCGCACAGTAACCACTAGCCCCATGTGGCTTTCAAGTACTTGAATAGGGCTAAGTGTGGTGGGGCCACCTTTGGTCCCAGCACTTGAGAGGCAGAGGCAGTGGATCTCTGTGAGTTTGAGGCCAGCTTGGTCTACATAGTGAGTTCCAGGACAGCTAGGGCTATGTAGAGAGACACTGTCTCAAAAAACAAACAAAAAAAATTAATGTTTTTGAAATATTCTCTGGTACAAATTGAGGGTGTACCATAAGGGTCAAATAAGCACAGGACTTTGTGACTAAATGCATTTTTAAAAAAAAGTTCAAGGGCTTGGGGGTATATAGCTGAATCAGTAGAGTGTTTACCTAGCGTGTACAAAACCCTGAGTTCAATCTCCACCACCACTTGTAGGGTACAGTGGTGAACACCTGTGATTACAGCACGTAGGAAGTAAAGGCATGGGGATCAGAGTTTGAAGGTCAGCCTCCTCAAAGTCAAGGCCAGCAGGGATATACAGACTGTCTTTTTTCTTTCCTTCTTCCCTTCTTTTTTCTATTTTTGAAGACAGAGTTTTTCTAGCCCTGACTGTCCTGCAACTCACTTTGTAGACCAGGCTGACCTTGAAGTCACAGAGATCTATCTGTCTTTGCCTCCCCAGTGCTGGGATTAAAGGCGTGGGCCACAAGACAGCACAAGCATGTCTTTTAAAAAAATTAATAGCCAAGCTGTAGAGATGACTCCGAGATTAAGACCATGTATTGCTCTTCCAGGAGACCCACTTGGATTCCAGTACTCATGTCAGGTGGCTGAGTTCCTGTACTGTCAGCTCCATGGGACCCAACACCAGTAGACTCCATAGGCACCCACAAACATCACACAGACACACTTACACTTAAAAAATGAACAAATTACAAATAAGTAAATAGTCAAATATGAATACACACACCTTTAGTCCCAGCACTCGGGGGAAGGCGGGGGTTGGGGGGGTGGGAGGGTGAGAAACAGGCAGATCTCTGTGAGTTGGAGGTCAGCCGGGTCTGTGTAATGAGCTTCAGGACAACCAGGGCTACATAGTGAGACCCTGCCTCAAAAAATTAAAAAATAAACAAAAATCTCAATTTCATATTGAGTTTTTGTTGAAATAATGCCTTGAGTATATTAGGCTAAATAAATTTTCTTTCTACACTCTTTTTTAAAAAGATTTATTTATGTTTTATGTATAAGGGTGTTTTGCCTGCAGGCATGTCCCAGTACTACAAGTGTTCAGTGCCTGCAGAGACAAAAGAGGGCATCACATCCTCTGGAACTGGAGTTACAGATTGACATCTGTGGGTGCTGAGAACCGAACCTGAGTATTCTGCAAGAGGGCCATCTCTCCAGCTTTCTTTTTACTCCTTTTGAGTGGTTTAAGAAAGGGAAAGTAGCAGTGGTGCACACCTTTAATCCCAGCATTAGGGAGGCAGAGCCAGGCAGATCTCTATGAGTTCAAGGCCAACCTGGTCTATAGAGCGAGATCCAGGACAGGCACCAAAACTACGCAGAGAAACCCTGTCTTGAAAAAAAAAAAAAAAAACAAAACAGAGAGAGAAAGTAATGTTTTAACTTACTTATCACAAGGTTCATAACTGAGATCCCTAAAACTAGAAAGACAGATGTTTAAAAAAGGAAGGAAAGAAAGTGTAGATGGAAGTTTCTTGTCCTTACCACCTATTCCCAAATAACCACTCTGAGGCGTATATTAATTGTAAACGCTTAGCCAATAGCTCAGGCTTGTTATTAGCTAACTCATACATTTAAATTAACTCATATTGCTATTGATGCTTTACCACATGGCTATACCTTTATTAGCATGGCACATTCATCTCCTGCCCCTCTGCATCTGGCTGGTGACTCCTCACTCTGCCTTTCTCTTTCCTATCATCCTTAGTTTGGTCACCCTGCCTATACTTCCTGCCTGGCTACTGGCCAATTAGCATTTTATTAAAGCATTTTGAGTGACAAATCTTTACAGTGTACAAGAGGATTATTCCACAGCAAAAAAGAGAGAGAGAAAGCAAGAAAGCAAGAAAGCAGGAAGGAAGGAAGGAAGGAAGGAAGGAAGGAAGGAAGGAAGGAAGGAAGGAAGGAAGGAAGGAAGG